TGTTTGTGTGTGTGTGTGTATTTATATATGTATATATTTAAAACCCATTCAAGGAATTTTGAAGGATAAGGAAATTGAGCTATAACTGGAGAGAGGGGTATGAGGTCCAGGAAGCCTTTAAAATGTTCTTCTTTTATTTTAAAAATTCCAAACATACAGTGAAAGAATCATACAGTGAATCCCCTTATACCTTTCACATATATCAGCAATATCTAGATTGTTGTATACTTATTTTATTTACTCATTTTTGTTGTTGTTGTTGCAGAAATATTTTGAAGTGAAGCCCAGTCATTTTGGTGTTTATACCTCAGTGTGCATCTAAAAAAAAAAAAGAAAGAAAGAAAAAATAGCAGTTTTTACACAACTTGATGCCATAATCACACCTGTTAAAATTAACAGTAATTCCTTGATACTAATACCTAGTTCTTATCATATTGCTATAATTGTTTTAAAGTAAAAGTTTGATTCTAGATCCAGCCAAATTCTAATTTACATTTGATCATTATATCTCTGAAGGCTCTTCTAGGTTAGTCCCTCTGTTATTGATGAAGCTAGATCAATAGGCCTGTAGACTATCTATATTCTTTTTTTTTTTTTTTTTTTTTTTTTTACTATCTACATTCTTGATTTGTATCTTGGCTTCCTCATGGTGTCATTTCATTTATTTCTGTTTTCAGTATTCTTGGCAAACTGTAATGGAGTGTAAATGTTTTGATTAGATTTAGTTTCATCTACTTTGGGAAACATCCTTGTAATCAATGCCGTGTGTGTCCTATTTCATCATATCAAGAGGCACATGGTTCACCTTCATCTTCTTACTTATGCTAATGATTATCAGTGAAGTCAATTGGTGACTGCCTTATGTTTCCATTGAAAGTTACCTATTAACCTTTAATCTGTGATTTTGATGATCTTTGCCTAAATCAGTTATTTCATTTACTTTACCAAAGGGTAATTTTTAATTGTCATAAGGGAGGAATCTTTAAAAATTGAAGAAATTATAATGTTTTTCTGCTGATGGAATTGATCTAGTAGAAAAGGAAAAATTACGATGTATAAGAAAGAACTCTGACACATGGGGAAAAGGCAAACTTGATAGATAAGAAGGAATAGAGTTCACTGCGTAAGTGATAAAATACTTCAGATAGGAGCAGGAACAGTTTAAGTGACTTATTCAAAGTTACAGTAATACAGAGTGAATATATTTTATTAAGTTTCTATCAGAATTTTGCAATGGAATCTGTTTGATAAATTGTACCTAATTTTAGAATCATGCATTTTCAATATATGATATTGTATGTGAAATTAGAATGGAAACTATTTTAAATTTCACTGCCTATATTGACATTGACCCTGCTTGTGAGAGTTTTTCTAATTTCCTCCTCAAAAGTGCCTTTTTAAATTAATGTGTCTTATACATCTGTATCTTTACATTTTAAAAAATGTGGGCATGTACTTCTATGTAATTGTTTTTCAGCTTTTGTTGCTAGTCTATTGCAAAGGGAAATAAATGCTACTACTAAACAAATAAAATGGTAAATAACTGGCAGTTTAGTTTAGACACTAATGGAACCTAAAAGCCTTTAAAGTGACAAAAACAGCAACTTTTATGATTTATATGTGCATTTTTGTTACACAGTTTGGTCATATACCTGACAGTTTTCTCTCTTTGTGACTTTTCCCTAAAAATTATACTTCTGTGTTATCTGAATGAAAAGGCCATTAGAGTTCAGTTGAAGAATTTGATAGCATCTCTTTTGAGGATCACAGCAATCCCATTGGGTGAATGTACAGTCTCCTTTTTTCTTTTTCTTTTTTTTTTGGTAGTATTAATGACAATGATATAATTTAATTCTCGAAGAATACAAATTGCAAGTTTGAACCTATAAATGATCTCCAAATTGTCTCCTATATGCTATATGAAACTCAGTTTTAGATAATCATTTCTTTATGGCTCAGTGATTTCCATTTACTTCCTGTTAGTCTATATACTCTGAAGAGTATTGTTACTCTTTTGGGGTTACTGTATTGTCTGACATGATATACACTGTCCTAAATTAGAATTTTAAAAGCAACATGGATTATATAATCTCTTTAGTTACTTAGTGCCATGTTGTTGCTGTTTTTCCAGAATCCCTATTGAGGTTGAACTGATTTCCTTTCCTGCTTTGCCATCTGCAAAAGAGCAGTCTGCATTTGTCCCCAAAAGCAGAAATGCAATCTGTTTTATTTTGCCTCCAGACTTAGATGAGAACATATTGCATGAACTACATTGATCAGTTATTATTAATTATTATTGCATCTAGTCATTTATTGGACAGTTAATACAACCTTGTAAAGACTTCCCTAGACCATTTTACCCAAGAACCACATAGATACATCTAGGTAGACAAGGATGAAAAAAGCAGATTAGGAGAAACCAGGAAATATTAAATCTTCGAACTCACATTATATTTTTCAGATTCTTTTAAACATTCCAAATGAAAGACATACTTGCTCTCTACTGAAATATTTGTACAATTTAAGAAACCTAGTTTTTCATTCACTTAAATCCTCATTGTTTAAAATATGAAGATTTAATTTAGGTTTATCCATATATTACTCTTTAAATTCTTGTGATATAAATCTTTTTTTGTAGAAGAATGATAATCCTTTACTGTTCTTTTTAAAAATTCAAAAATACTAGAAAAATGGCTTATCAAGGCAGCTAATTCTTAAAGCAATATAAACTCCTTATGATTTTTAAAATATTTGTAGATTTGCAACTTTGTTGTCCAAATGCACTTTCGTAATGTTTTATATAGTAGCTTAGAATTTTTAAACTGTAGTACCAAAATGTGTTAGTACTTGGAAGTTTTTTTTTTTTTTAAGATTTTATTTATTTATTCATGAGAAAGAGAGAGAGAGAGAGAGAGAGGCAGAGGCAAAGACAGACTCCATGCAGGGAGCCTGACATGGGACTCAATCCCGGGTCCCCAGGATCATGCCCTGGGCCGAAGACCGACGCTTAACTGCTGAGCCACCTGGGCTGCCCTGGAAGTTTTCAGATTAATTCAAAAACAAATATTTTATAAATTTAAAAATAATCATTCTTTTTGGTAACTGCTTAGTAAAGAAATACTCCTGAGATGTAAGTTTATGTGTTGTGTTGGGATGCTGAATTTTATTTATTTATTTATTTATTTATTTATTTATTTATTTATTTATTTATTTATTTATATTTTATTTATTTATTCCTGAGAGACACAGAGAGAGGCACAGACATAGGCAGAGGGAGAAGCAGGCTCCATGCAGGGAGCCCAATGTGGTACTCAATCCTGGGACTCCCAAGATCACACCCTGAGCTGAAAACAGACGCTTAACCACTGAGCCACCCACAGGCATCCCAGGATGCTGAATTTAATACCAAGCTGCTATAATGAGACTCGGAATTATCTGAAAACTAAGATTTTTTTTTCTGTCTGAAGGCTTATCTGTATCATATAAAATGAGTTATAGGATCTGTGTATTAGACCCAACCAGTTTCATCTTAGTCATGCTCACATATATTTACATTTTATTCACTTGATGTGAGATGAACACTATTAATCTTCATCAATTATCCATAAATTTCAAATTTCATAAATTATTTTTTAAGATTGTATTTATTTGAGAGGAGAGACAAGTAGACTCCATGCTGAGCACGAAGACTCACAACCCTGAGATCATGACCTGAGCCAAAATCAAGTGTTGGATGCTTACCACCCACCTACCCCAAAAACTATTTTAAAATTTTGTTCTTAACTCTGATATTCTGTCTTATTATTAAAATTACATGATAAAGACCACGTTGACTCATTTATGCAATAAATATTTATTGTGCACCTGTTATGTACCAGGGACTTTTTTTTTTAAAGATTTTATTTATTCATGAGAGACATAGAGAAGCAAAGATACAGGCAGAGGGAGAAGCAGGGTAGAAGCAGGCTCCATGCAGGGAGCCTGACATGGGACTCGATCCCAGGACTCCAGGATCAGGCCTTGGGCTGAAGGCAGCGCTAAACCGCTGAGCCAACTGGGCTGCCCTGTACCAGGGACTGTTGACAGCTTGGGGAAGCTGTAACACAAAACAAGCTAATCTCTTGTCCTCTGAGAGCTTACATTCTAGTGAGAAAGTTAAAAATAAAGATTAAAATATCAAATAGTGTTGCTATGATAGTATGTTGTTGCTATGATTAGAAAAAGAGCAGGGTAAGTGAATAAAATGAAGAAATTAACCTGGACTTTCCAAGACCTCCTCTACCCACAAATTTATTTATTTATTTTTTAAAGATTTATTTGTTTATTCATGAGAGACACAGAGAGAGAGAGGCAGAGGCATAGGCAGAGGGAGAAGCAGGATCCCCACAGGGAGCCTGATGCAGGACTCCATCCCAGATCCTGGGATCACACCCCAAGCCGAAGACAGATGCTCAACCGCTGAGCCACCCAGGCATCCCTACCCACAAATTTAAATGCTCTTTTCACTCTAGATCATCCAAGTGTGCCATTCATGTAGGTACATCCATTATTTTTCATATCATACGATCATATAATTGTCTTGCCTGATGTTAATTTAGTTTTTCACTCTTAAGATATCCTCTTTGAAAGCTGGGTCCATCAATCTTCATCTCTGTGTTACCAGTTTTTAACCCTAAGTCCTTTTATAAGTGCTCAGCAAGTATTTTTTTTTGTGTGTGTTGATGAATGAATGATATGCTCAGAACTTCTTAAGATCTCTGGCTCTACTGGAATCCAAAGACCCTTTTTGAGAAAGAAAAGAATGAGTTAAAAATGAAGAAAGGAATATTATGTATGTCTTCACTCTGTTTGGTTTTTGGTTCAAATGAACATTTCTAGTTAATTAAGAGTTCTGCATTTTTATTTTATTGGCCTTACTATATCATCCTTTCTCATAGCTTTTTTGAAAATAAAGTAATAAAATAAGGAAGGTTTTCTGAAAAGTAATCTTTCATCCACAGGTACTACTGAACGAGTATGCTTGATCCAGGGAACAGTTGAAGCACTGAATGCAGTTCATGGATTCATTGCAGAAAAAATTCGAGAAATGCCCCAAAATGTGGCCAAGACAGAACCAGTCAGCATTCTACAACCCCAGACCACTGTTAATCCAGATCGCATCAAACAAGTGAGTGTTTAGTTGGGAAATCAAAGAGAAATATCCACAGGATAGTATGAATTCCTTATAAAAGAAGCATTAACATCTTAGCATATAAAGTTTTTCTTTTCCTAAGCATACGTAATACATAACAAAGTTGTCATTTTATGTACTTAAAGACTACCAGTCTCTTCCTTAGATTGATCAGTTGATTTATTGATTGATTTAACAACTCGTTTTTTAGTATTACACTGAGGAACAATTATGTGCCTCGGTTCTTTTGTGATTGCCTTTTAAAAAATTTATAGACACAAAATTGATTAATTTATAGGAATTTAATCTATTTTAGACTACATTCAATTATTAAAGTATAAAAATTGAAACAATATCCTCAACATTTCAATTACCATATTTTTAATAATACTTGTAGTCTTCAGTATAGTTACTACTGTTTTGTTAATTTGTTATATTCAACATTTTTTATAAACAAGTATGTGTAAGTAAATTTTTGTACCTAACAAATAGTACTTTGTTTTAAATCAGCTATTACATCATGTATAAGATGTAGTATTTATATATATATGTCATAAAGGGCCAATGTTAATCTTTAATGTGTGAGATTTTTCTGTAACAGAAATTTTACTTGATAAAAGACAATGTGAGCTTTTAAGGTTGAATAATGGCTGACATGACGTAGGAGAAAAATGACATTCTTTAATGTTAAGTTAGGCGAATTCTTCCCCATAAACTCTTTTAAATTCTGAAATTTTTTTGATACCTTATGATTATAATTATTGTTTCTGCATTTGCCCTTTTTAATTAGCTACTTAATTTGTGATTATGCTATCAATAGACTATGCCTTCAAAAAATGTATTATTCTTCATTAATTCATGGAGTATTTAAGTTACAGAATTTTATGTTTATTGTAATAAATTTGAAATGACGCTCAAAATCTTATTAATTTCATGTTTCTGAATTGAGAAAAAATTTTATACTAAACAATGTTATGAATATATTATAATTTTACCAACATATATAATAATAAGCCTGACTAATCATATACAGACATAGGAATTAATAATTAGGTAATATATTTTCAAATTATAGGCTAACACTCCATTTTATATTAATTACTATTAAAAAATATTTTTCCATGTTTACATCAGGTAGCTGTTATTCCATATAAAATCATCACTTTATACTCTTTGTCACAGTCAAAATGGTTCAATTTGTATACCCTTCATAAGTTTTCAAGGAGTTGTCTTTTAATTTATGCATGGCAGAATGTAAATATTTTAGAGCTCTAAATATCAGTAGATTTTTTTATTCTTCACAGCCATTTATAGTTTTGAAATATTTAGTTTGTCTCTACTAAGTGAATACGAGGAATATTTCTAAAACTGACCCCAAGACTCTATCCAGATTCTAAAACTATGAGTTTAGTTAAAGACCTCTGGGTTAAAATCATTTGGGGCTAAGAATTTACGGAGTTGGCACTACGGTGTAAGTTTATTGACTTTCTGCCTTACTCCAGCCTATTCTCTTTTGTTTTATGACTTCTGTGAGAAAAGTTCAAATATTTAGAGAGAAGAGTGATCATTTTTATTTTTAAAAAAGTAAAGTTGAGTAGTATGATATTACTGGTGATATATTTAGGACAATGATATGAATTATTTATTATTTTTATAATAATGGGTAGTACCATTAAATAATAGAATATGAATCATTGCTAAAATTCCAATTGTCTCTATGCAATATGAAATTTGAAGGCTACCATATATCCAGTACCAGTATAGATTGATGAAAACTAGATTTTGAAATTGTTTGGTTTATTTTTACTTGCCTTGTTCAGATAATGTTATTGAAATTCAAGTTAAGTGTTAAAAAAATAGTGATTGGTTGACTTTTGTGTATTTGCATTCATTTGTAAGCCCTGTAGATATTGATGGAATTAAAATTATTATTGATTTTAATATATTCATGTAATCAATAATGTATGTAAATAGAGTATCATTTTTAAAAATTATCAGACAAGTACACTAAATCTAGTAGAACAACATATTTAATTTTTAATCCCTTTCTTTGTAAATCTAAAAATTGAAATATTTACTTGAAAAATCTGGCAAAAAGATCGAAAATGTTTCCAAGATATTATAGATCAGTAGTTTTTTATGTTCTAAGTTTTTCTATTTTAACAAAAAGATTTTTTGTTGAATTAGCCTCTAAATAGTAAGTCAGGTATATAAATTTAAATACTATAGTTTTATTTCTAGAAATACTGGTTATCCATTATCAAATACTATGTCCAAAATAAATTGTTCTAGAATATATAAAAATATTTCATGTGATATTTATATATATTGTAGATTATAAACATAGCATCACAGTAACATTTTCTTAAAATGGTGGCCTTTCATTTAACTGATAACATTTATCTCTGCTTTAGGCTTTATTTAGTCCTGAAGTTAATTTTAAAAACAATTTTAAAAAAAAATTTTAGAATTTTATTTAAATTTTGCAAAGAATAAAATTAGAATATATAAAAATGAGAGAAAATATAATTTCTGCATAGAAATGAATCCATGTTGAATATGAAATTATATATTTTCTTAATGTTTATTACTAATGTGTATTGTTTTTTATGATAGATAACTTTAAGGTGTATACATTCCTAAAAATGTATAATATGTATGTAACGTACTTAAAACAGGAAGTCAAAGTTAGTTCTAAATAAATAAAAGTTACTTTAAAAGTTATTATTTCAAACCATATATTTTGGACTTTTAACAGAATGTTATATTCTGAATCTAGATACACTTGTTAATTGAATAAATTGCATGAACCAGAACATTCTGCCCAAATTCTACCCAAATATCCTTATTAACTGAATGAGTGCTCAAATATAGTGTCTTAGGAATATACTGCAAACTGGTCTTGCAGATCTTTCAGGTAGTGGAATGATGAAATCTAGCATGACAGCCTTACATCCAACTTTGAATATTAGATGTTGTTTCCTCTCAAGTGTTTCTTGTTGCCATTTTATTTTAAAAATATTTATTCACTAATAGGGACTCCAATTTTTATATATTCAAATGATAATAGTAATAATTAACAGCTGTTGAATAATTAAAATATTGTAGATTCTGTTCTATAACCTTAATTAGAATTATTAAGGTTATTATTATTATGGAGTACCTAATACCATTGTGTTCATTTTACAAGTCAGTATACTAAGAAACTGATAGGCATCAAGAGCCAGTAAACCAAAATAAAACATAATTTATTACAACATAGAACATACTATTTCTTATTTTCATGACACACAAATAGAAACATTCAGTGATCTTCAAATAATTTAAACCTTATTTGTAGAAGTTCTGGACTCATTCCTGGAACATGTCTTTAGTTCAGACTCTGTAGTACACATTTTTCCATTTCCAACTTTTTATATTTTGAGCTTGATACCTTTTCCCCCTCCTAGAATTATTGAAAATCTTCTTCTAAGTCCCTCAAATCCTCCTCTAAATATGGTTGTTTACATAATGAATCAGTACAATAAACCCTAAAACAAGGTAGAAACCACAAATTAGTAATATAGTTAATATTTGTTAATTTCTTGTGTCTGTTACAGATTTTCAGCAGTATTTTTCTCTCTTGCCTCAAATGTAGTTTTAAGGAAAGCCACATTAAGAATGAAGTGGTTATAGGCATTTAGAGAATTCACTTGTATTTTAAAAAAGAAATCAAATGAAGGTATCAGAAATCTTAGTCAAGAATTTTAGTCCTGTCATGAAAAATTGGCAAAAATAGCACATAATGTGTTCATTATTCACCTATTCTGTCATGAATTTATTAAGTTCCTTCTTATTGAATTGCAAGATTTATTAAGTTCTAGCTCTTGTTCTCTAAAACTAGTTGTGAGAGATCATAAATTGCTAAAATAATTAATAAAATGTCAGACTGTATTATATCCCAAAACTACAACGTAAACAATGTAGCATAAAAGTTCAGACGCATGTGAAAGAAATGTAGGCTTGAGTGACACTTGATCTTATAAAATAGGTGAAGATTTGAACCGGACCTTGAAGATTATATAAGAATTTCCTAATTAGTGGAGAAGAAAGTAAAAAGCTTATTTTAGGCATGTGAAACAATATGGATTTGAGAAGAAAGATATAATGGTTGAATAGTAAGGAGACCCTCGTGACAGAAGAGGAACATTTGCGTTAGAGTTTAGAGCAAATTAATATTAGATAGATAGGATGGGACCAGATCATGGTGAACTTTGGATGTCTGGCTGAGGGGCATTCTATAGATCACGGATACTTCCTAATATTTCCCAAAAGAGCTCTTTCACTTTCTCTGGAAAGTTAGGACAAAAGGAGGCACCTCTGCATTTTGTTCTCTTCTGGCTAAAAATCCAGACGGACTCTTAGGGTGCCTGTAGGTGCAATTATGGATATGAGAAAAGAATAATGACAATTAGCCTAGTGATCTACTATGTGGATCTTTAGGTTTGAAGGTTTGTAAGATAATATTTTCTTCTTCTTTTATGCGACACAAATTTAAGGAGTGTTAAGCTTTGTCAGGCTAAATAAATAAATAAAGGTTTGGTGGTCAAGAATGAAGGATCAGTAATATAATAGTGATATCTGTGATGTTTATTCTGTGCCAGCCATTGTGCTATGCACTTTACATGTATTATCATATTTTATCCATCTTCACAAAAAACTATGAGTCACGTAGAGTACAGAATCCATGTTAAAGTTATAGAAGCTGATGTTTAAAGGAATTGAGTAACTTACCCAAGGAAATGTAACTGGTAATTGATCTTAACACTGGACTATATGGTCTCCACTTTTTAGCAATGTTCATAAAATGAAACCAAATAGATTTCTGTCTTTGGGGCCTTTTACAGTATCTGGAATAAGTTTATCCAAGAAGAGAACCTCATTTAAAATAGAATATCTTGGGTCAAGGTTAATTTAAGAGACTAGGCAGTATTTTAAGAAGATGATGAACACCTAATCTTTTTTGGTAGTGAACTTGAAACAAATACTTGAAGTTAAAAGATATTCCTAAGTAAAATCTGTAAGGCTTTGAAACAGGTTAGTTCCCGTTTCAAAATGGTGAGAAAAGAATAAATACTGATTACGTATGGTTTTGAGCTTAGCAGAATGGTGAAGCCTAGAAAGCAATAACTGAATTTTAGTTAGGTGCCTGTTTGAGATAATATTTTTGTGTGTTGCAGGCAAATTGAGTAAGTTGTACGTAGTGTACTTTTCTCTTGAAGTAGTCTTTTATAGAAGTACAGGTGAGAGTGTAAAACTCAAAAATATAGGTCCTAAATTATATTTGAAGCATTAATTTCACTTTACCATCTTCATTGTAGGAGAGGGAGAAAAAAGAAGCACAAAATGAAATAAAGAAGCAATTTTCAGAAAAGGTAGTCAGAGGCATTATTAGTATAGGGGTTTAGTGCATAAGATCTGGAGCAGGACTGCCCAGGTTCAATTCCTGGCTCTTTAATTTATCAGCTACATATCTTTGGGTGAGTTGTTTTGCTTCTCTGAACCTCAACTTCTTTACCTATAACATGGGACTAGTAATAATAATCTATTTCATAAGGATATTGCATTAACTGAGTAGAAGTATACCAGTTCCTAGTAAGTGCTCTTTATTAGAGATAAGGATAAAAGGGAAATCAGTAATATTCCCTGTGAAAAATAAGGAGGGAAGGTTTAAGGAAAGACGCTAAGAAGGATCAAATGCCCGAGAAAAATACAAGAATTATCTTTTAATAGGAAATATTTGAAGATTTTAAAGTTAGTGTTAACCACATGGTGAGAGAAAAGTCATTATATCCTACTAATATTATTTCCTAAAAGTAAAGAGGCCAGTTCGGTAAAGAGGAAAAAAAAATGGTGTGAAGGGTAGAAATGCTGATTTGGAATTTTGGATATGCAAAAGAGTGAAATACAAGTTAGCTGAGGAAGGCTCATGTAACCCCTGCAGGAGGAAATGGCTTATGTTAAAGAATAAAAAGGAGCTTGAAAAGGCAGAGAAATTAGAGATGAGATTACTGTGATGGCTCAAGATGCCTCAGGAGTGGTGGAAAGTTCATATTTAGGGTGTTAAGATCCTAACCTATGAAGAGTGGAAGTCTGAGTAGGCAGTTTTGTCTATAATGAAAAGAATAGGAAGATTGGTTGAGGGAGGAAATGGTTTAGAAAAGGAAAAAGTATAAGTATGTTCATTCTGAAAAATCATGATTTCTTTTAGGTAATGAAGACTATCAGTTGAAAGGTAGATAAAAGTCGTGGGATTGAGTGGCTGAGAAGAAGGATAAAGGTGCAAAATAGTAATTATGAGGAAAATAAGCTATAGAATAAGTTCTGAAAGACCTGTGTGAGTTGGACACCAGCACCATATTAGTGCTGATGGGTTCCAGATAGTCCAGATGTTGGAAGAAGGGGAAAATGTTACCACCATGAAAAACCAAAGATGACAATTACATATTCACGTATTTTTTCCTTTTTTTAAATAGAGGACTATACAGATTTTTTTAACAGAACTCAAAACACAGGTTTGGGAAAGTGATTATTTGAGTAATATTACTCAGTTAATAATAGATTTTGAATTACAATTGTGATTTATTGTTCATTGCTGTTCTCACTATACCTATAAATATCAGAGGTTCTTAACAGTCTGTTACTGTAGATTTGCCTGAAGGTAAGCTGCATATATTACAGAATTTATTTATAGTAATATTTTCTGATCCAGCAACACTTGTTACTTGTTAACAAGAACGCATTTTACAATTTGTGATCGGTTTTTAGTTCTTATTCCCAGAAGCCAAGTTATAGACCCACTTAATGTCTATTGTTAAATCATGAATATTTTAAAACCATTTGAAAGGATTCACTATTTTGAAATTGTAAAATACTTTGAATTTTTCTGCAGTAAGTAATTCAGCCTTCAATCTTTAAAGTAGAATTCTTAGACAGCTAGTCAATTTGTCTAAACAACACTATGTTATACTTTTCCATTTGAAAAGTAAATTGTGCTACAAAATGACTGCCCTTCACAATCACTATTTGATAAATGTTAAAAAAAATTTAGAGGAGAGTGTCCTTTGTACATGTTATTTATAATAACTATTTTAATATACTGTTGCTTAAATGGATATTTAGTCAAATTTTATTAAATGATCTTTAACTTGAAACCACTAAATTTAAATCTGTGTAGTAAGAAGGAGTAAATGTTTTGTTTATAAAATATAGGGGAACAAACATATCATTTATATTATACATTGAAATATTTCTTATGGATTCTTTGATTCTATTTTTGTTAAGAAAACTATCAAAGCTGTTTAAACTACTTAATAAACATTTTAAAGTAAAGGCATTATTTTAATATATTTACATTTATCTGTTAGTACAATTTTTTTGTAGCTAGTACTTTAAAATATCAACCCAAATGGGAACTCTCTGGTATCTTTTTATTGTTATAAGTAAATTGGTAAAGGGAGGAGACATTTTGTGTTTAAAGTATCAAAATGAATAATAGCTACAAAACTCATTATGTGTTCATTAATTTAGGAATTTAAATGAAGAAAATATATTTAAAGACAATCTATTGTGATATTTTGATAATCTTATCCCTTGAAGCTCAAATTTATATAATTTTCACTAGTTTATTTAAAATATTAAACTTTAATTTATTATCAGATTATGTTTAATAAGCAAATTTTTAATGGTTTAAAGACAATATTTTCCCTGAAGTTCAAAGCTACTGTTTTTTGTTTCTGTGAGAAAGAAATAGCATCAGAATTATTAAGGACAGTGTTGATGACTATGAGTTGTATCAGTTACTAATAATACATGTCCAGTATTTCATATATATGCCAAGCAAAAAGAAAGGAATTGAACAAATTGACAGAAGATAATATTAATCTAAGTGTCTACAAATTCTGAGCCACTTGATATTACTACTTTTACAACATCATTCTTTGCAGTGTTTCAGTACCTTATTAAGAATTCATATCTAGGACGAGGTGGGTGTCATAGTGAATATTTCAGGTTGATTTTACCCTGATGGACGTACAAGAACCCAACACATACTTAGTGCTTCTGTAGGTTAATATACTTAAATTCTAACCTATTTGGGGAGAAATGACCTCTAGATTCATTTCACATCGTTTCATGAGCAACCTCATAATCTGAGATAAGTACAGAACAGATTTTTTTTTTCAGAACAGATTTTTAAATGTATGTTAACTACTCCGAGGAATTCTCTGTAATAACGTCGTAACTAGAGATGGGAAAATAAAATCTTTACTATTCAACATATAGTAGTGTGAAGTCAATGATATATATTCCAGCATAAAATTGCACGAAAAGGAAATATTAGAGCAATCTTTAATAAGTGAAAATGAAAAGTCTCTCTGGAGAAATGATGGGAATCTTTTTGCAAAGAGCAAAAATAGAAAAAGGATTTGAAGATTTTGTTTCTTCTTTTATGAGGTTTTACTTCTGAAAGTAGCTCCTGTGCCCTTTTTAAATATGATTTAACAAAAGCCTTGGTTTGACTCAACATTTAGTTTTCCTCAAAGTATTTTAGGTTTTAACTTAGAAGAACCAGGAATCACTTGAGGAGCGGACTGTTTATAACATGATTTGATGTTAGAACCAATCTTACTTTTGTTACTGGAGAACAGTAAGTTAAGTAGAAGCCTGTGAATTTCTTATTCTTTCTTTTATGCACACGTGCTTTGTTCTACCCAAATCAGAACTTTTGAAATGTCAAATGAAGAAACGTGATTTTATTAAGTAATTTTATTTGCTTTTCCTGATGCTGCTGAACCTTTAAAGTTATGCTTTTGCTCATATCTGAGTAATTTTGATGCATATTTATTAACATAAAATGTCCACATAGAATTGTGTTTATACTATAAAATTACCCCATTTCACCTATAAGGAAATATTATCTATTGAGGTTGCTACATAAGCAATATTATTTGCTAAGTGAAAAAATATTTTTTAAAAGAAAGATGTTTAACATGGTACACTTCAACATTATTCTATCAAACTTGAGAAGTTTTTAAAATGTATTAATGAATTGTTCAACAAGTATATTAATGACCTCATACAGCATATTATATATAGTATGTAGGAATGTTTCAAAATGAAGTGAACAATAAATATGAGTCCTAATATTTTGTGTTTATTTTCAACACAGGCTGATGGTGCTACAACACATCTATATTAAATTTTTAGTCTTAAACATAAATGATAAAAATATGGCAATTTGTTAAAATGCTATTACTTGTTTATTAATATGAGGTTAATGTTTACATTTTCAGATGGGCTCTAAATTTATTAAAAATTAATATTTTAAAAGATAATGTGCTTTAAGAATTCAGAACTACAAATTTAGTTACTTTTAAGTATGGATCCCTAAATTTATGTGGAATCAACTTGTTGGTGATGTTCAACATATTAAGTAGGTGGATGCTTTTATGCCAAAGTAAACTTCATTTCACCACTTCTTCCAATCCCGGACTGTATTCATTGATAGGAAGATGACTCTCTCAGTTTTACTCATTGAATTTCTTGAATTTTTGTTTGACATCTCTTTTCCCCCAAGCAAACAAGAGGGAAAGAAAAGAGATTACTATTCATGAATATGGTCAGGATACCTTTAATACTCATGTGAATTTTTATCAGTCACCACCATGATTTCAAGTCATGAATTTATTTTTACATGCTTATGCATGCATATTTACATGCATTAGTTACTTAATTAATCTTAAATTCCATTAAATTTGAATGAGTAGGAGAAAAATTTGTTCATAGGATTTTGTTCTCGTTATATTACATTTTATTTTATTTTGTTTTATTTAAATAATCAGTTTAAGGCTTTTAAAGGTTGATTTGCTCCTGAACTGCTTTGTTCCCAGACATTGCCATCTTCCCCAACTACCACCAAGTCCTCTCCATCTGATCCCATGACCACCTCCAGAGCTAATCAGGTACAGTATCATCCTGTCATCTACACCATACTTTTCACGGGTGATTGCCTGCACACTGGAGAAAAAGATAATGGTGGGTTAAGGATGTATTCGTTCATTCACATATGTGCACCATGATCAGATTCCAAATAACCTGAGAAAGAAATATCAATTATTTCTGAAAATTTATATGCATTTTTTAACTTACATAACAAAAATATATTCAGATGGTAGACTCCTTGAATTTTGGATTTTCCCTTAAAATTATGACTTTATGGAGCTCTGTGGGTTATTTATTGAGTCACTGTTTATAATCTCCATTATTGTTTCTTCCTAGGATTACTGATATATAAGTTAAGAATATCATATATGTAAAAAATGTATAAATATGACTTATTGAGCAAAGGTATATCTTTAAAAGTGAATGCATTTTCATTTGTTTTTTTATTTCAGACATGCCTTACTATGTAAACAATTCTCACTTTCAATGAAAAACATTTCTAGCGATCTAAAAATAACAGAAAATTGGTGTTTGTTATAATTTTAATTCTGTTTTACAACTTAGGAAATGGTATTATTTTCTCTCATTTAATACAAGCATTTTCTTTGGTGGAGTGGCAAACTTTGCAATTAGAAATATATTAGTTTGATTTGATGATTGTTTTGGTACTAAATATTTGTAGGTCATTTTTCAAAACTGTAGTTATTTTTGGCACATTTAAGTATATTATCTAAACTATTTTATGTAATTCAGAGCCATACTGTACTTGACAAATGTTGAAAAATATATTCATTAAAATGATTAAACACATTTTCATTTTGTCTGAGTTGAGCTTCATTTAGGTGACAGATGTTATTTTCTTTAATATTTCTACTTTTTCTCTAATACAAAGAAAGCCTTATGGTATTATTCAATTATCAAACAAAAGCTTACCTTGTAAATATACTTTCCTTATAATTGATCAATAAATTATTAACTTTGAACTATATTTGCTAACTATATTAAATGTGCCTTTTGCATGTAATCTAAGACTATCAGAATTATTTTGCTTATTTATTGAGTCTAATACTTTTGCAGCCTCAGGAAAAAAATTAAAATAATAGCTGGAAGCAAAACTAACATAGGGTATTATGTTATTCTATAGTAGGAGCTTGATTTTCATGTTATGCAGTAGCATTCCCTTTAGACAAAACTACTTTATAATACTCACTTTTTAGCCCCAATAAATTAGTTAAAATACTACACATCTCTAGTGATGAATCCCAGCACTTCTAGTTGAAAGAAATGATACAACATAAGGTGAGAATGAAGCTTGTAATATTAATGCATGAGATTAAAAAGTATTTATATATTTTCTCTATATTTACCTTATCTCTTAAATGAACTTTAATTACATGATATAGAAAACTGTTGGAACAAGTAACTTTAAATTGTTTTAATATTTCTCTTGTACCTTATTCTTTATTTTCCAAACAAAAATAAGACAAATGAGTGCAGCAACAATAAAAAAAATAAAAATAAAAATAAATTAAAAAAAAAAAAAACTAAGGAGTTTTCTCAACGTACAACGTAAACAATCTTGGATCTGAAAAGAAAAACTATCTCAATAATTTTGTCTTTGAAGTTAGATTTGTATTTTATTTATTTTATTTGAACACGTGAATTTTTATTAAATGATTTCTTTAAAAGGCTAATTTATACATTGGAGCTTACTAATATTTTTACCGTCTAGATATCATACTGTATCCACCTCTGCCAATTCTAATAGTTTTCTGTTTGAAATAATAATTCATTGTGATTTCATACTCTGTCCACTATACTCAGTTATATTTGTTAAATATATTTTATTTATATTCTGAATTCTTCTGTTTTTATGCAAACAAGCATAATATCTCCTGGATAACATGAGGCAAAATATAAAAGAAGAACCAAACAAGATTCTTAAATTTATTAAAGGAATTGTAGTCATCACCCATCCTTATGTAGTTTGTAATCATTTTATTCCCTCAGTATTTCCCAGTAGATTCAAATTCACACTCTGTTAGCATAGATCTGTAAGGCTAACCAAGATAGAAAAATGGGTTCCAGTATGATAATCTTAAAATCTCCATAATTAAAATGAACATTTAAAACTATAAGAAAATTACTTTTATGTATTACAACTAATATGGTACTCTGTATATAAACTACCAAACTATAAACTTTTTTCCTTGTGAACTTTTATAGAACAATATAAATATATATAAATATATACAAAATATATATATAATATGTCCAATTGATTGTGTTATTTTCATCAATAACAACTAAATGAGTTATGATTGAGTTCTGTTTTCAGAATAGTTTGTCTATGTTACAATGATGTCCGATTGTCACCATAATATGATAAAAAGGTCTAAGGAACTACTAATACGCAAAAAAAACAAAAGTAAAAAAGCAAAGAAAATACACTGAGGAGTAAGTTTTATTGCAGTTTCAAAATTCAAAAACTTTTTCTATTCTTTTAAAAATGATTATGTGTTTCAGTACATACTAAATTTTAGTTTTTCTGCCCTCCTGTTTATACAGGTCAGACTATTTCCACAGATCAGACTGGCAGATTATAACTACAGTGTTGTGGGTCTATAATAATTTCCCCCTGAAAACTGAAGGACTATCATATGAGAAGTCCTGCAGAATGATAGTTATAAGTCAAAACTGGTGCCAAATTGCTTATGATCCAAATCCTTGTTCTGGCACTTATTGGCTGAGTAAATTGGGTTTTCACTTTCCCCTTTTGTGAAATTCAAGTAACAATAGCATCTCATAGGGTTTGAAGAAAAAAAGAAATTCATTGTGTTACAGTGTCTAGAATGTGATGTTAACCTTAAATGATAGTTTATGTTTATTTTTTCTAAAGTATCTTATAAGTGATATGAAAAAGAAAGTATTCTTTAAGGTGGTAAATAACATAACATGTAGCTTATGAAAACTGAGTTTTATCTTTAAAGAAGGATTCTCAGATACTAGTTGCTGAGAATCCAACTGCTTTTTTAACTCCAAAATATTTCTGTAATAGAAGTCTCTGTATGCTTTTTAAGATAGTTTAAACTATTCTACAGTTATTTTCTTCTCTAGTGAGAGTACTAAGTTTTGTGTTGTCTAATGATAAAGCAAATTGCTATTATTTCCCTAATGAGAAAGAAAAGTTAGGACTTTTTTTGCATGTATTGCCTATTATAAGGTGCAACATTGAAATTTCTTATATATGGAATTGTAAATATGAAGCAAATAAAAACATACAATAAATATAATTAGATGCTTTAAGCAATGTGTTTTCAAAAAACATATAAAGAAATTAAAAGCAATGAGTTGGGTTTGATCATCAGTTCTAAGTTATTATTACATTTTTCAGTCACTTCAAAATTCAACAAAATGGTTTTGTTAATCAGTTAGTGGTGCCAAAAATTAAATTCCACCCTTAATTTTAGGTTCCTGATTGTCAGCTCTCCTGGGATTCTTCATGACAAGTAAAAAGAAAAATAATGATTGCAGAAATATGTGCTTTATTGACATTTGTTTGTTTACTGATAAATTTGATAACTATATACCAAAATATAATAAAACATAAAAATAGGCAACTCATATGTTGCACCCTTTGTTTTCTTCTAGTTTCCAAAGGTCAAGAGTCTAGGCACTGCTTCACTGAGTTCTATGTTTGTGGTCTCACAAAACTGCAATCAAAGTGTCAGTTGGAGTACATTCTCATCTAGAAGCTTGACTAGAGCCTAATCTGCTTTAAAGTGGATCCAGGTTGATGGTAGCATTTAGTTCCTTGCAGTTGTCTGACTGAGACCCTGACTTCTTACTGTTTGTTGGCAAGAGGCAACCGTCATATTCTAGAGGTCTCCCAAGTTCCCTGCAGATTGACCCTCTCTACATTAGGTACTTTGCACCATGGCTATTTTCATCCTGCAAAGCCAGCAGAAGACTCTTTCTCCAGTGTGTGCTAGCAAGATGGTGTTTAATCATAGGAGTGACTTCTTACCACCTTTGCCAACAATATAACCTAACCACAGTACTTGACATTCCATCTTTCTGCCACATTCTGTTGATTAGAATCAAGTCACAATTTTCACCCTCATTCACATGGAGGGAATTGCACAAAATGTAGCACCAAGGAGGCAGAGATCATGGGCCAATCTAAAAATTCCTCTATCAAACCTTCTAATATCTCTTACTCCATCCTCACTCCCAACCAACAACCTTACTTCCTACTTTACTGAGAAAATTGAAACAACCCAAAGAAAACGTCCACAAACTCACACCAACACATCTACTTACTGAGCCAGTATTTATACCCACATATTCTACATTCTCTTCTATTATCTTACCTTCTACGTAAAGCCAGTAATTTTAGCTATACATTAAATCTCATCCTTTTTCCTTTACTCAAGGAAATCCCTTCAGCAGTTCTACCTTCTTTCTCCTTTAACTTTCACGATTTTTGTCTCTGTGGACACATTCCCATAGCATACATATATGTCTTTTTTCTCCCATCTTAAAAGACAAAACTTCTTTTTATCGCACTTCTCCCACCAGCTAATGCCCTACGCCTTATACTCCTTTGTAGCAAAATTCACAAATTATTTTCTCTACTGTTTTCCAATATCCTTCTTCCCATTCTTTCTTAAATCCACTCCATGAAGATTTTTGCCTTCATTCCACCATAACTGTGTTTGCCAAGGACACCAGAGATGACCACACTACTAATTCCAGTTGTCTGTTCTTAATCCACATGTTACTTGACCTATCCATGGTATTTGTCATGATTTATCTTTTCCATTTCCTTGATATACTTTCTTTACTTGATTTCCAGGATATTTCACACTCATGATTTGTCTCCTACATCATACGATATACTGTCTCAGAATCCTTTGCTAGTTCCTCTTCTCATCCCACTTAATGTTGGGAATGCCCCATATCTTAATAGTTGAGATGACCTCTGGGTTCATACTTTTCTTTCTCCTCATCTAATATC